ACCTTCGACCACTGTATTCTCCTGGGGAGGCTCTCCGAGTTGGGAATCGGTGGCCTGGCTCTTGCCTGGCTCCATTTCTTCTTGGAGGACCATCCCCAGAGAGTGCAGCTTGGAGAGAGTTTCTTGGCCCCATGGAACCTCAATTGTGGAGTTCCGCAGGGCTCAATTATCTCTCCAATGCTGTTTAACATCTATATGAGGCCACTGGGAGGGGTCATTAGGGGTTGTGCGACATCATGTCATCAGTATGCTGATGATACTCAGCTCTACATCTCCTTTTTTCCAACAACAGTGAATGCTGTCTTGTCCCTTGAGCGCTGCCTGGGGGCTGTTGAGCAATGGATGCAGGTGAATGGACTGAGGCTGAATCTGGTCCAGACGGAGCTGGGGTGGGTGCCCCAGGCATCAGTGGTCTGTGAAACTCCCTTTCCTTTGGGGGGGTGTGACTCTTACCACCAAGAATGAGCTTCGCAGTTTGGGTGTACATCTGGACCTGGTGCTCCCCATGGAGACCCAGGTGTCATCAGTGGTCTGTTCCTCACATTTCCACCTTCTGTGGATTTTCCAGCTGCATCCCTATCTTGATGTGGAGCCTTCAACACTTTGGTCCATGCACTCATAGTTTCAAGATTAGACTAATGTAATGCACTCTACGTGGGGCTGCCTTTGAGACTGATGCCGAAACTTCAGATGATTCAAAATGAGGTGGCCAGACTTCTTACAGGAGTGAAAAGATACCAACATATTTCCCCCACACTGGCCACCTTGCATTGGCTGCCCATTCATTTCTGTGTTGATTTCAAAGTTCTTACGATTACATATAAAACCCTAAATGGTTTAGGACCTCGATATCTGGCAGAGCGCCTTCTCCCACCCAGTTCTGCCAGAGTCACTCGTTCCAGCCAGGCCAGGTGGCTGAGGGGCCTAACGCTGAGGGAGGAAAGAACGAGGAACTGGGCCTTCTCGGCAGTGGCCTGTCGCCTTTGGAAGAACTTGCCAGTGGAAATCCGCCTGACCCCCTCTCTGGGTGTTTTCAGGAATAAACTTAAAACCTGGCTATTTGGGCAGGCTTTCCTTCCTGCCATATCTTAATTTCTTATACTTCGCCATCCTGGACCTGTAATATATGTTTTTGGTTTTATTGTTTTTAAATT